ATGTTGGTTTCTTAGTTCCTTTACAGTCAAAAAAATTCAAAAAAAACACAATAATATACATAATTCAGACACTCTGTGTATAGTCCATCTTTATGTGGTTTATTTGTTTTTATTCTATTACTTTTTAATATTTATTTTATTCTATTTACTCCTTTAATTTATGACTGTCTGTATTCTGTCTCTTTAAAGACTTCATTTCACTTTTTTAAACCATTTACTTCTTTTTATGACTCTCTATATTTTTTTCCTTCTCTCTCCCAAGCTTATGTACAATTTTTAAACATGCTGTGTCTCATTTAGAGGTCTTTTATGTGTGAATCTGTCCTATTGTGTATCTGTAAATCTTTAGTGTTCATGAGTGCTTCCTAATATGCTAAGGACTTCTTCTGAACATAGTTTGTGCCATTGGTAGAGCAAATATGGCCTTCCATCTTGCTCCACCCACTCCAACATAGCAGGGGCATGTTTGCTGCCTCTGAGAGCCATGTACATTGCCCCATTTTCAGGCATATAGAGGGTCTAAGTTGCCATTAGCAATCTGCTCACAGACCCCATACCTGGTCCTCCAGAAAAGTCAGAGTTTGTGCTGGCAGCATGTCCCAGAATTCCAGCATTTCAAAATGGTGCAGCTTTTTGATTTTTGATTTTGATTATGATGTCTAACTTAATTTTTTTTCTGTTTTCTTTTTTTTTCAAAGTTTATTAAATTTTGAAATTTTCCGTTTCCGCCGCTCCTCCCCACTCCCTTCCACTCCCTCCTCCCCCTCCTGCTCCCTCTACATCCCTAAGAGCAATCAGGGCTTCCAGCCCTGTGGGAAGTTCAAGTTCCTCCCCCCTCCCTCCAGGTCCAGGAAGGTGAGTATCCAAACAGACTGGATCCCAAAAATCCAGTATATGCAGAGGAAACAAGTCCCAGTGTCATTGTCAATGGCTTTTCAGAAAGGCTCTGTGCCAGCCACATTCAGAGAATCCAGCCACATTCAGAAAATCTGGTTGGATCACATGCTTGTTCAGTCCCAGTCCAACTGGCCTTGGTGCACTCTCATTAGATCAGTCCCCTTGTATCAGTGGGTGATTGCACTCCTCCCGGTACTGAGTTTTTTTTCCATGTTCTTCCTCCTTCTGCTCCTCATTTGGAGCATGGGGGGCTCAGTCCGGTGCTCCAATGTGGGTTTCCATCTGTATCGCCATCCATCGTCAGATGAAGGATCTGTGGTGATAAGCAAAATCTTCATCAGTATGGTTATAGGCCAAAGCCGGTTCAGGCACCCTCTCCTCTGTCCAGAGAACAATCTTGGGATCTCTCCTTGGATCTGGGATCCCATTTATAATCAAGTCTTTTGTAAACCCTAAAACGACTCCCTTTGTTGAGGTATATTCTTCCCTGATCCCATATCCATCCTTCTTCCCTCCCCCCATCTCAGTCCCTCGAGTATTCCCCATTCCTCCCCTACACCCTTCTCTCTAACCCTCTCCCCTTCCAACAACCCTCCCCCCCCCTCGTGCACCCGAGGTTACCTGGGACTCTTGTCTATTTCCAATCTCCAGGAGGATAAATACATGATTTTCTTCAGGTTCACCTTCTCATTTAGCTTCTCTAGGATCTCGAATAACAGGCTCAAAGACCTTTAATTATGGCTAGAATCCACTTATGAGTGAATACATACCATATTCCTCTTTTTGGGTCTGGCTTACCTCACTCAGTAAAGCATTTTCTATATCCATCCATTTGCATGCAAAATTCAAGATGCCATTGTTTTTTACCGCTGAGTAAAACTCTAGTGTATATATGTTCCACACCTTCTTTAACCATTCTTCTATTGAGGGGCACCTAGGTTGTTTTCAGGTTCTGGCTATTACAAATAGTGCTGCTATGAACATAGTTGAACAAATGCTTTTGTGGTATGATAGGGCGTCTCTTGGGTATATTCCCAAGAGTGGAATTGCTGGGTCTTGAGGGAGATTGACTCCCAGTTTCCTGAGAAACCGCCACACTGATTTCCACAGTGGCTGCACAAGTTTGCATTCCCACCAACAATGGATGAGCATTCCCCTCTCTCCACATCCTCTCCAGCATAGGCTATCATTGGTGTTTTTGACTTTAGCTATTCTGACCGGTATAAAATGGTATCTCATAGTTGTTTTGATTTGCATTTCCCTGATCGCTAAGGATGTTGAGCATGACCTTAAGTGTCTTTTGGCCATTCAGAGTTCTTCTGTTGAGAATTCTCTGTTCAGATCAGCACCCCATTTTTTAATTGGGTTAATTAGAGTTTTATTGTCTAGTTTCTTGAGTTCTTTGTATATTTTGGAGATCAGGCCTTTATCTGATGAGGGGTTGGTGAAGATCTTCTCCCAGTCAGAAGGTAGCCTTTTTGTCTCATGTTACAGAGTAGGGTTTCTTAACCTTGGTGGTCACAACTCCCTTTGGGGAGAGATGAATCTATCACTTCTGCGGCAGGGTCTTCCATGTTTCACTGGACCCCTCCCTGCCCCCACTGCTGCTGCACTCTTGTCTCCTGAGCCCTGGGAAGGCCAGCTATCCCAGCTGCAGTACTGAGGAGCTCTATCCAGAGAGTGCTGGGGAGTTCTATCCAGAGAGTGTGGAGTAGTTTCATCCAGAGACGTGGAGATGGGCAGGCGCCAATGAAAGAATTCCTCCAACAACCTGAAAGGCAACATGACATCTCCAGGATCCAGGGAGCACGAAATGAGAAGAATTGAACACCCTACTCTAGAAGAAATAGAAGAAATCGACTCTAAGTGGATCTATATGAAAATAATAGAGGAACTTAAACAGGAGGTGAAAACCTGCCGTAAAGAAATGGAAGATAAGTATAACAAAAAGATTGAGGAAATGAGTAAAGAAATGGAAGAGAAATATACCAAAAAGTTTGAAGAAATGAGTAAATCCATACATGAAATTTTGGGAAACCAAGAAAAAACAATCAAACAGGTAATGGAAACAGTTCAAGATTTGAAAACTGAAATGGAGTCAATGAAGAAATCACAAACCGAGGGCCGGCTGGCTATGGAAAATCTAGGTAAACGAACAGAGACTTCAGAAACAAGCATAACCAACAGAATAGAAGAGATAGAAGAAAGAATCTCAGTCTCTGAGAACACCATAGAAAAATTTAACGCTCTGACCAAAGAAAACAGCAAATCCAACAAATCGTCATCACAAAACATTCAGGAATTGTGGGACACAATAAAAAAACCAAATCTAAGAATAATAGGGATTGAAGAAGGAGAAGAACGGCAGATCAGAGGCCCAGAAAATATATTCAACAAAATTATAGAAGAAAACTTTCCCAATATAAAGAATGATGTCTAACTTTAAATCAGGAAAAACTCTCTTAAAGGAGCCACAGCATGTCATCAGTACGCAAAGCCTACCTGGGGAAATAAATGCGGCTAAACTTCATTTTTTAATGTCTAGAATTCCTTTCCAAGCCGTGGAAGATCTCGAAGATGCTATAGCTCTGCTATAGGCCCAAAGTAGTTCCTTTATTAACCAAGGATAATCACAGCATACAGAGGGGAATCCCACAATTTGAGTTTCTATAGCCTCAACCCATTTCCTGTTCTTTGTGCCTACTGTTTTGTGGTTGAATCTAATCAGTCAGCTTTCTTCTTTTGCTGTCATAACTTCCCCACCATCATGAACTCTATCACTAAATCATATAAGATTCAGTAGAACTAACTGCTATTTGGTGTTAAGGTGGTTTGATTGCATATTGTTTTCATTTTTTTTTGTTTTTCTTTGAAGATTAGGTTTGTCTGAGTAGCCCTATCTATCCTGAAAGTAGGTCTACATACCAGGGTGTCTTCAAACTCAGATATCCTCTGACTTTGACTTTCAAGTGCTGGGATTAACGGTAGGCCAGCGTTCCTGGCTTTTTTGTTTTTATATTGCTGTATGATGGTTTTGCTCCTATCAAACATATGCTGTTGTACTGAGCTTCACCCATATCTTGAATTTTAAAATTTTACAGAGTGTATGATTATGTTTCCCAGGATGGCATGCATTCATGACATTAACACTTCCTGTGCCTTCTTAGTCATTGGATTGCAGGTGCATAACCTTCTTCCTGCCTGTTTTTCTTTGTTTTGAATTTTTATTTTAAAAAGAGTATTTTACCTGAATGCATGGATATGCACCATGTGAGTACCTGGTTCTTATATTGATAAAAAGATGGTACTAAAAACTCTGAACTTGGAATAATGGATATTTATGATCCACATTAGCCCAGCTATATGCAAGATCAGAAGGGCTCTGTATTGTTGAACCATCTTTCCTTCTCTTTGTTTATTATTTGTTATTAGCGTAATAATTACTATTGATTTTATTTGTCCATTTCTAACTTTTTAAACACACAGTACCTTTTAGTAAAATCTTATTTATGTTGCAGTTTCAATTGGGGCACTTCAGGCATAACTCTTTGTTGAAGTTTCATCCAAAATCTATGAGTTATTTCTATCTGTTATGTTTTTTGATTAATTTTTTCATGTGATACAGGTTTTTAATATGTATTTCAGGATTTCCTAGAAGTTATTGCATGGACTAGGCTTGTAGTCAACTCAGAGGCAGATAGAGATCTTTTTGCCTCTGCCTTCTGAGTTCAAAGGTTAGAGGCGTGATTCAATGTATCCAGCTTTTTACATCTTATTTTTAATTTTTGTAGTTAGGAATTAATCTTTCATACAATTTCTATTATCTGTACTCTATACTGTTGCTCTGTTTACATATCTTTCATTGTTGGTTAGTAGGCATCTCTCTTGCGGGGTGATATCCCACTGAAAGGGTTCAGAAATGACAGAGGTGAACGTCCTATTCAGTTGGCTTCTAAAGTGACTCAGTGATTAAATTGTGATGCCTATGTCATGCAGTAAGTAAAGAGGGCACCAGAATTATATGATTTTATGTCAAACAAGTATATATTTACAGTGTTGTCAAACTCATGCTTTCTGTTGTTCACTTGTATGGGATGTTTTAGAATGCAGTGACCTATGATGACGTGCATGTCAACTTCACTTTGGAAGAATGGGCTTTGCTGGATCCTTCCCAGAAGAATCTCTACAAAGATGTGATGGAGGAGACCTACAGGAACCTCACTAGTATAGGTAAGACTGAATTATCTTTCATGTTTCAAATACAGGGACAACTGTTCATTGGTTAATGATGGCCTTTTGTGATATGATTGAGAAAGAAGAATGGGGTAAATAAATCAGGCAAGGCTGTAAGGTTTGCTTCAAACGGTAAGTAAATTTATTACAATTTTTAATATATAACATATATTTTTTCTGGCACTATATTTTTAGGATACAGTTGGGAAGACCATAATATTGAAGAAGATTTTCAAAGTTCTAGAAGACATGAAAGGTAATTTTCATGTATAACCTGATAGAAATGTACCTCTGAAGAATTTGTAATGTATCCTATATGTTTGAAAGAAAAGCAATAGTGTAAATAATAAAGTGCATCAATGGTTATTAAATTCTCATAAAATCATATACTTTAATTTCAGATAGGTGAACTGCACTTGCAAGTCGTTCTTTTAAGAAAGAAGTCAAGGAAGCAATGTCTTAACCTATATTACTATTTGAATCATAATACAATGAGAGCTATAGTGTAAAATTGCCGATCCATTCATTTCATATTATTCATAGTATAAAAGATTTACATGTTGAAAAGGTGATAAGTATGTCTCTAAAACTCTCTATTATAGTAAAAGTCTATAGAAAGTGTGTTTTAACCCATATACTTGGTAAGTTTAATAAGGGGACAGATAGAAGATGTGTAGCGGTCCCCATGCAGAGTATACTTGTTGAAATTGATGTACAAGTATACAAGTAATTGGTTTTCTACTCTCATTGTTAATATATCAATAAGCTCACATTTCAGAAAAGCACCATGAGTTCTAGGACTGTGTAAATACTTCGGGTTGTCCTAGTTCACTTAGCAAATATAGTATCACTCACAATATAGGAAACTTTATGATTGCAAAGAGTGGGAAAGCTCTGAGTCTTTTCAGTTCTCTTCAAATACATGATAATTCTCTTAAAGAAAAAAAGATTCTGTAAATGTGAACCATGTAATAAAGGCTGGTATCAGTTATCTTCAAATTACAAAAGCAAGCCTTAATGAAGAGTAAAAAAAAGGTTGTAAACATGGTGATAAAACCCTAACATATAATTCCTCTTTAAAATAGGACTAAATTATAAAGTTAATTTATAGAGATAAAAAATTCAACAATGTATTAAATGTAGTAATGCTTTCACATGTACCATTATCATCGTAGGCATGAAACAAGTCAAACTGGAGAGAAAACTTCTGCGTATACTCAATGTGTTAAAGCCTTTGCATGGGACAGTCATCTTCATGGGCATGAAAAAACACATACTACGTTGAAACCCTATGAAGAAAATGAGTGTGGTAAAGCCTTTTCACATCACAATCATCTCCAAAGACATAAAAGAACACATCCTGGAGAGAAGCCCTATGAATGTAATCAATGCTGTAAAAGCTTTCCATGTCATGACTGTCAGAGGAATAAAAGAACACGTACTGGAGAGAAGCCTTATGAATGTAATTACTGTGCTAAAACCTTTGTATTTCACAGTGGTCTCCAAAGACATAAAGGAAGCCATACTGAAGAGAAACTTTTTGAATGTAGTCAGTGTGGTAAAGCCTTTAGATATCAGAGTTATCTTCAAATACATAAAAGAACACATACTGGAGAGAAACCCTATGAATGTAATCAGTGTGGTAAAGCCTTTGCACGTCACAGTGATCTAAAAGTTCATGAAAGAATCCATACTGGAGAGAAGCCCTATGAATGTAATCACTGTTTTAAAGCCTTTGCTTGTCACAGTAGTCTCCAAAAACATAAAAGAGCCCATACTGGAAAGAAGCCCTATGAATGTAGTCAGTGTGGTAAAGCCTTTGCACAACAGAGTATTCTCCAAACACATAAAAGAACACATACTGGAGAGAAGCCCTATGAATGTAGTTGGTGTGGTAAAGCCTTTGCACAACAAAGTCATCTCCAAAGACATAAAAGAACACATACTGGAGAGAAGCCCTATGAATGTAGTTGGTGTGGTAAAGCCTTTGCACAACACAGTAATCTCCAAACACATAAAAGAACACATCCTGGAGAGAAGCCCTATGAATGTAATCACTGTGGTAAAGTCTTTGCACGTCACAGTGATCTAAAAGTTCATGAAAGATTCCATACTGGAGAGAAGCCCTATGAATGTAATCACTGTAGTAAAGCCTTTGCTTGTCACAGTAGTCTGCACATACATAAAAGAGCCCATACGGGAGAGAAACCCTATGAATGTAGTCAGTGTGGTAAAGCCTTTGCACAATACAGTCATCTCCAAAGACATAAAAGAACACATACTAGAGAGAAACCCTATGAATGTACTCAGTGTGGTAAAGCCTTTGCACGTCATAGTCATCTAGAAAATCATGAAAGAATCCATACTGGAGAGAAGCCCTATGAATGTCATCACTGTGGTAAAGCCTTTGCACAACACAGTAATCTAAAAATTCACGAAAGAATCCATACTGGAGAAAAACCTTATGAATGTAGTCAGTGTGGTAAAGCCTTTACACAACACAGTCATCTACAAATTCATGAAAGTATCCACACTGGAGAAAAACAAAGCCTTTTTATTTCATAGGAGCCTCCAAAGGCATAAAAGAACCCATACTGGAAAGTAACCCTATGAATGTAATCAATGTGGTAAAGCCTTTGAATGTCACAGTCGTCTCTGAAAACATAAAAAAACAAATACTAGAGAGACACATTTTGACTGTTATTAGTATGGTTAATGCTTTGTTTATCAGAGTCATCTTCAAGGACATGAACTAACACATGCTGGAGAGAAACCCTATGAATGTAACGAGTATGGCAAAGCCTTTGCATGTCACAGTCATCTACGTATTCATGAAATAAGCCACACTGGAGTGAAACCCTGTGAATGTAATCAGTGTGGTAAGGCCTTTTCACTTCATAGACTCTTCAAATGAATGAAAGATCACACACTGGTGATAAACTCTATGAATGTAATCATAAGTGTGGTAAAGCTTTTGAATGTATGAATAATCAAAATTATGAGAAAAATCATACTGTAGAGAAACCCTCTAAATGTATTCAGTGTGATAAAGTTTTGTACTTTATATAGGAGTAAAATTTCTTGTATGCAACAATCTGTTAAAATCTTTGCATATGACATTAGACATTGACTTCCTGAAAAAGATACTGAGGACTTCTTATTATAAAGTATTTGGTAAGATCTTTAACCAAAACACTTATAATCAGCTACACAGTGATTTGGGATTCCCCTCTGTTTGCTATGAATATGTTTTGTTACCATTGTTTAATAAAGCAGCTGCTTTGTGTCTATAACCTTGTAGAATAGAGCAAGGCAGGTATCCAAAGCAGAGACAGAGGCAAAAAGAAAGTGGAGTCAGATTCCATGTTGTGCTGAAGAAAAAAGATGCCCTGGAACCTTAGTGGAAAATCACAAGTCTTGTGTTAAAATACCAAAAAATAGGAACGGGTTAATTTCTGATGTCAGACTTAGTTATTAATATTTTTTTTAAAAAAAAATTTATTTATTTATTATGTATACAATACAATATTCTGTCTGTATGTCTGCAGGCCAGAAGAGGGCATCAGACCTCATTACAGATGGTTGTGAGCCACCATGTGGTTGCCGGGAATTGAACTCAGGACCTTTGAAAGAGCAGGCAATGCTCTTAACCACTGAGCCATCTCTCCAGCCCAGTTATTAAGATTTTTGAGCTAGCTGGGAGATTGTGGCGTACACCTTTAATCCCTGCACTTGGCTGGCACAGGCAGGTGGATGTCTGTGAGTTCAAGGCCAGCCTGGTCTACAAGAGCTAGTTCCAGGACAGGCGCCAGAGCCAAAGAGAAACCCTGTCCCAAACCAACACCCAGAAAAAAGAATTCTGAGGTAAAAGGCCAAGCAGTGTTTTAATTAATGTAGTTTCTGAGTGATTATATCAGGTCTGGGCAGTCAGGAATGAACAAGAATCTTCTGCCTATAAATTTGGGAGTGTTAATAATCTTTTCAAGTATTGCATCCTTTTTATATGGTTTGTGCTTACAAACTCAAGGTAAAAAATGAATTTGTGAGTTTACAAAGCCCTTTGTACCGGATAAATGGACCAGTCAAGTAAACATATCCTGACTCTGAAATCAGAGCCAGTGAAATACATAATTTTGACTCTGAAATTGGAGCCAAAGAAATATATCCTGACTCCAAAACCAAGACAGGGGAACACACTTTGTTCCTGAATCCAGAAACAATGAAAGAAACACCTGGCCCTGAAACCAGACTCAAAAGCTTATAAGGGGCTAGTGAAAGAACACACTTTGACTCTGAAACAAGAGCCAAAGAAACATACACTATATTTGTCCAAGTGAGCACAAAACCTGCTAATCTGTAAGCTTGAGATCTACCAACTCCAGAGCATGGAATCCATCCAATGTCTGCATTTTTCTAGATCAAAGATTAATATCTAACCAATTCCCACCCTGAGAATCTTCTCACTGAGAAAACTCTGCCCCTAAGAAATCCTATATAAGTTCTGTACCTTTTCAGGTGGCATCTGCCCATTTCTGTTCTAGCAGAGGCAGCCCCTCTCCTGGATTATTCCCTTCCAAATAAATTTCTTGAATGAGTTTTGGGTAAAGATCTTTCACTGAAGTGATTAGAAACTTTGTAGTGGATTGGAACAGAGAAGCTTTGATCAGCTCTGCTGGCAAACTCTCTTAAAGGAGCAGAGCAGAAGTAGCAACAATTCACCAGAGACTGCAACATTTCAGCAGCAGTTTCCTATTACCTCCAGTGAAGCAGAGAAATAACAATTTGGGCTGAAGCTGAGAAAACAATTGACATCTCTATTAGGAAACTCCCTAGTGTGGTGGAACAGAGAAGTATTGGAAACTACTGCTGGGAAAGTCCCTTAGGGAAGTGGAGCAGAACAACAATGAACACCTCTGCTTTGAAGCTCTCTTAGCAGAATGAAACAGGGCCCATCTGTGATGGCTTTCTTGGAGAGGAGCAGAATTGCTACATCCTGCAGGAAGAACCTCTCCCACCTGACGACAGCCTCAGGTATGGCTGGACTTTTCAATAGTCAGTATACATCAGGGATCATCTTTGACAATTATATTACTTACCAGGGTAGGGCCATGGGAAATAGAAAAATAAGTAAGGAGAATGAAGACACATATGTAAATAATAAAACAGAAGCATAGGACAGTACTGGGAGGTTGTTCTTGTGAATATTGTAAGTCTGCCTGCATTTAATTTTCCATAGACTTTTATACCCTGATACAACAGGGGGAAGAAGACAAAAGACTGCTTTAACGTGATGCATAGGACAACTAAAACAGTTACTTGCTTCAATCCTTTGAGCCATCAAGTCCGTGATTGTTGAGAAAAACATTCCATTATTCAGGCAGTGAATCCGTCCTAGACAAAGTATTCTAACGACAGTCATTGTCTAGGTCAAACCCCTTCATTCAAAAGAGGCATGTTTGAATTTTCTCACTTTCTTCAACAGCAAGTAGATTTAACTGTATGGGCCCTCTTAAAGTCCAAAACACAAAACAAGGCCACCTTAGGTGAGGGTGTGTAACCACACCTGTTAACAACTTTGAGCAACCTCTAACTCTGACCTTCAGATAAAGTGGAAATAGACTCCTGGTTTTGGAGCTCCACAAGGACAACTTTTCTCCTCATAGGTGTAGGCATACAATACACTTTCCCTTCACAGCTGTAGGTATGGCCTGACTTCTAATAGTCAGGGTACCTTTTCCTTCGGAGCCCTAGGTATCAGTATGCCTTCCATCTATAGCTTCATTCATTGCCAGACTTTTCCACAGTCAGTTAGGGTTAGGGGTTATGGTTGGAAGGTAAGAGTTTAGGGTTAGGCAATTGAAAGTTTTGAAAGTTTTTTCATGTATGTATAGTAGTCTCGACTGGCATCTGATCTTTCAGTGTTAAGCACATCTCTTCAGGGGCTTTTGACTTTTAGAGTCTTCCTTGAAAAGTCTAATATAATTCCAGTATGTCTGCCTTCATGTTTTACCCAGTCTTTTTTCTTTGTATATTTTAATATTTTTTTTTTGTTCTGTGTTAATACATCCAAGTTCTGAGATTGCGGGAATGTGACACCACACTTGGCTCTGCTTCTTTAACCTTCCTGTCCCACTTTTGTTTCAATGCCTTTTCCTGGGAGCTGTAAATAAAATGTCTGTTTAGCCAGAACGGGTACCGGTAACAGGCCAAATAGTAGTTCCATCAAAATGCAACTTGATGAACCTGTTTTTTGGGGATATTTATGGAAAATGAAAGAGTGGTTATTTACAGAAACTTAAGTGACCCGAAACATCATCAGAAATTTCTTTCTCATGACAGATGATGACTTTATTACAGCAGCATCATAGAGTCCCCCTTTCAATTAATGTTTTACTTATCTGTTGTATCCATCTCCTGACGGAATATTACAGAGCAGAAAAAAGTAATGACATCTTGAAGTTTCCAGGCAAATGGATGAATCTAGAAAACAAAATATTGAATGAGGTAATCCAGACACATAAAGACAGATGTAATATGTACTCACTCATAATAGACTTTTAAACATAAAGCAAAGAAAAAAAACTCCCTACAGTTTACTACCCCAGAGAACCTAGATAATAAAGAGGATCTTAACAGACATACATGGGTCTAATCTACATGGGACACAGAAAAAGACAAGAGCTCCTGAGTAACTTTGGCGCACAGGGACCATGGGAGAGGGGAGAAGGGGAGAAGGGAAGGGTATGGATAAAAATATATAGCTCAATAAAGATAATAAAGGAACATAACTCAAAATATATAGCTATATGAAAATGTCATAATCTAACCAATGTACATCATTAATATGTGCCAATAAAATACTTTTGTGGGTAAATTGGAGAGGAAAGGACCAAGATTATTAAATTTTAAGCTCGGTAAAAGAATATTTAAGATATGAATTCATTGTCAATCTTCTTGTAAGACTGATGTTGCCAAGCATTATGAATGTATTATTTAATTTTGAAAACTGAGAAGGGGAGGAAACTGAAGCAAATAATGTTACAGGAATTCTTTTGAGTCACCTACCATCTTCAAAATCATGACACAGAAACTTGTTAATTATGCATGTTTGGTCTTATGCTCGTTACTTGCTGCCCTTCTAACCTATGTTAACCTGTTTCTTTTCATTTATGTTTTGCTTCAGGGTTGTTCTTTTTACCTTTCTTTCATTCTGCATGTGTTACTCTGTGTCTGACTGGCTGGTCCTGCATGGCTGGCTCTGCCTAGACATCTCCCTTTTTCTCGCCCCCTTCTCTCCTATGTAATCTCTCTGCCTAGGAGGTTCACTTATCCCTCCACTGTCTAGCTATTGGCTATTCAGCCTTTTATTAGACAAATCAGGTGACTTAAACATCTTTACATAGTTAAACAAAGGCAGCATAAACAAGTATAACACATCTTTGCATAGGTAAAGTAATATTTCACAACATAAACAAATGTAACACATGTTTGCAAAGTTAAAGTAATATCCCACATCAGAATAATGATGTAGGATTTCCCTCTGTATACTGTGATTATCATTGGTTAATTAAAAAACTGATGCACAGAGCAGAATAGAAGTAGGTGGGGAAAACTAAATTGAATGCTGGGAGAAAGAAGGTGGAGTCGTGAGATGTGCTGTAGCCATCAGAGGGGAAAGATCAGAGCTTCAGCTGGAAACTTGCTGGTTGGCACTAGCTTCATGGTAAAAATATAAACTATTTAAAATGGGTTAAATAAAGATGTAAGACATAGCCGATAAGAAGTCAGAGCTAATAGGCCAAGTAGCGATTTAATTAATACAGTTTCTGTGTGGTTATTTTGGGGTTGAGCAGCTGGTAACAAGCAAGTGTCCTCCTACAACTAATTGGCACAAATTTTAACTAGCCCCCACTAAACAATCGCAAATATCCATAACCCACTTAATGACCAAAAACTGCCCATCCAACCTCTTGGGAATGTCGGCATCATGTCTTAAAATTACTTCCTTTTGTTTGGGAGTGGCAGTATCTTTTGGAGCCCTGAAATATTTGTATATTGTCAAGTTCTGAGAGAAATTATTGTATCATTTGTTGTTCTGTCTCTGTATAATGGAAAGTGCAGAGCTTACCCAAAGTCTGGGTCAGAGAAGTCTGTAAGGCTGGAATATCTCATCTCAACACCTTGAAATTGTGCTGAGCAGTTTACTGCCCAAAGCCAATCTTTGGGTAGTGTTTGTCAGTTTAGTGATAGTGCCACAATCATGGTGGAATTGTCATTGTGGGGCCCCACTTTG